AATTGACTTCCTGATCCAGTCTCATTGGAGGAGTCTTTATTATATAGYCTACAAGGCAACTTAACAGATTTCATCACAGCCTATATCAATAAGATCATAGCTAACTGCCTGCTGGCCCTGCCCCTAAGGTCAGGGTTTATCTCCTTCAACACCATACTGCACCTGGTCTTCCTCACATCACACTATGAGCTTCATGCTGGAAATGGGGGCTGCTATAAAACTAACACAAGAGTCTTTATTTTTGACCTAGAAGTTTATGTTTGTTGACAGCACCCATTAAACATGTTAGTTTACAAGCAGTGGGAAACCTGGAACCCTTCAAGTTCTTGATACTCCCAGTTACCACTCCAATGGGACTGGATCAGAAAAACACAATTAGGGTAGGGAGGAGGTGCAGCTTTGCTGTTATTTCAGACTTAGGAACACGTACACAGAAGAAAAACCAAATGTCAAAAAAAACAAAGATTCACACACTTATTCCTTTCCTGACATAAACATCTGAATACATACCAATCAACTCTATGAACAACAGCAAGGGTTTCAACAAACCCTTTGAAATCCAGATCCCCTTGCAAAATACAGTTCTCACAAGAGAAGATGGAAGACACACATAGAAAGGAGGAGAGAGAAATGAGATAACAGAAAATTAAAATGTGGCAAAAACTAGAGATTGGCAAATCTATATTTATTCCAAACCTCTTCTAAGTAAGACCAGGCCAACAAGAGAGAACAATCACACACACACACACACACACACACACAAATGGACCTATGATAGACAGCGTGGTTCTCCAAGGACATCTGTGGCAGAAGGTATCTCTGTTCCTAGCATCTCAAGGTAGTGTTTTGGGATCATGTTTCTGAGAACATTGTTGTGACGTGGTACAGCATTCTTCTTCTGTTCATGACACTTATGATTACATATCAATCATACATGGTTCTGTGGGCCTTGAAAAATTTTATRAGGTACTCAATACCATTTTCTATTTAAATGGCCTAGAATGGATTAGGTTGCTTGCAGCTGAAGAAATCTTCCTGATATATTTGAGAAAATAAACTGAAGTATATTAGTGCAATTTCCAGTATTTATTATTGGTTTTAATTAGTTATACAGGACAGCAGAATGCATTTATGCACTTCAATAGATCATACATAAATGGGGTATAAGGTCTCATTTTTCTGATTGTAGAATCACATCAGTCATGCAGTCATATTATGTACATAAGGTAATAATGTCTGTTTCRTTCTACTATCTTTCCTATCCCCATATCCCCTCCTCTTCCCTCACTCMCCTCTACCTAATCTAAGGTAACTCTATTCTTCCCTAGTGCCTTCCCTTCATTAGGAATTATCATCCATATATCAGAGAAAACATTTAGCCTTTGGTTTTTTTGTTTATACTTTCTTTCCTGAAAATAAGACTCTCTAACAACTGAAAATAACTATAAGATATTTCGGGTACTTCGTTTTTTATTTTATTACTAAACTATATCAAATGGGGGAAATACACTCAATTTCTATCAAAATTATAGGCAGTCAAATTATCTTTATTATGATCACACTCTGAATAAAATCAAACAATTTTCCTTTAAAAAGCACTTTGCTATAAACATACATTGCAATAAAAAATTCCTCATTGTTCTTTATATTACTATCTCCCATTTTCTCCAATTTAAAAGCAAAYAATTGGTTTCTATTTTATTTGGTAACAAACAAGTTTTATTTTTAATTTGATGATCTGCTAATATCGCCCAGATTAATTCATTTTAATAAATGTGAATTAGGAAGATAATGGAATAAAATGGGCACTTAGAACAATGGCTTTATGGGAAAATTGACAATCAGCTAGTTCTAAAATAACCAAATTTGTAGAAAATTCAGAAACCCTCAAAGAAAGTATATTTATGTTAGTAAAGTGTTGCTTCATAATTTTAATGAAAATAGAGCATAATCAGTAATCCTCAGAAGAGAATCTATTTTACCTTTTTTTTAATTGAGGGTGGGGTGAGGTAAGCTAAATTACCTTGTTGCAAATAGTACCTTTTACTCTTAAGCTTGCCATCTGCTAGTTTTTCAAACATTAGGCTTAATAATAAGAAGCCTTTGTTAAAGGGTAAAACCCACAATAAAATGAACAGTGAAAATTAAAATTTAGAATTCTCTTCCCATTATCTACTCTTTATCAGCAACATGGAATGTACTCAGAAAATGAGAAAAGGTGATTTTAAATGATGCCAACATGACTTTTCTTGATGCAAATTAAGATTTAAGAACTGCATCAAGAAATTTATTTCAGCATTTGAAGGACATCAAAAAAGTTCAATACCACCAAGTGTAACAGAAAATATAATTACTTACAACTGAACAAATTACTTTTGTAAAAACCAATTAGTTTCAAATAWAATCAACCATCTATACCATTGTAAAAATTCTCAAGAAYTGAATCAAATACATGATTTCCATAGCTATCAAAGGTCAATGTTGCCAGGTGAGATAGCATACACACCTTAGGAGGCTGAGGCAGGAGGATCACAAGATCAAGGCCACCCTTGGCAAACTAACAAAGCCCTAAGCAACCTAGCAAGACTATCTTGAAATTAAAAATTAAAAAATAGGCTAGGGACATAGCTCAGTGGTTAAGCACTTCTGGGTTCAATCAATGGTACCAAAAAAGGGAGAGGGGGAGRGAGTGTTGCTGCTATCCCTCCTCTACTACACTGCTATACCATTACCATAAAATAAGGCCAATAAGAGGTAGTTCAAAGAGAAATCATCCTGACAAATGTAATTAGCCGCATTATTTGTAACAAACAATGGAAATGACCAAAATGTCTGACAACTGATAAAYTAAATATGGTGTATTCAATATATAATGGAATAATAGGTGGCAATAAAAAAATGAACTACTGATACACATTCCAACAAAGATAAACCTTGAAAATATTATGTTAAATGAAAGAAGCCAGTCACAAAGAACTAATAATTGCATGATTATATTAATGTGCAGTGTCTGGAATATGTAAAACTACAGAGACAGAAGGTAGGTTACTGGTGGCCTAGGGCTAGAATGTATGAAGGAATTTGGGGGTTACAGCTAAGGGGTGAGAACTTTCTTTTGGGAGCATTGAAAATACTATGAGATTGATTGTGATTAATACATCTGAATGTAAAAAAAATACACACTTTAAATGGGTAAATAATATGACATACGAATTTTATCCAAATATAACTTTATTTAAAAACCACCCAAAAACTAAATTCAATTTTGAAATAGAATTTTAAAAATTTCTTCAAGTGTTAATGTCTTAATCTTATGGATAGTAAGCCAGAACTGTTTAAAACATCAGATGAAATAGAACACCTACACAAGAGGAAATCAAAAAGATTCAAGGAAGAAAGGAAGGAAAAGAAAAGAACAGAAAGAAGAGACAGAAGTAGAACAAGAAGGAATATGAATTAAATGACCCCAGCACAAGAAGCAAAAACTACAGGTGTCAGCAGTGGAGAACAAAGGCAAGTCCCCAATTCCCCTGCCATCTGCCATGCGCAGAATGAGTGAAGAGGGGCTTTTTTCCATGCCCATGGCAGCTGGACACATGCAATAGAGAACATACATTCAGATCCTCAGTTCTACCTACTGCAGAGGGACACAAATCACAGCAACAAGGTCCCTCACCAGCCACTCACATTGTTGTCAGCTGATATGTCACAGTCAATTCATCAGCTTCACAGTTTCTAACATCATCTGATTTTGCTTCAAATAACATCTTTTTAATTTTAATTTAATGTTTCTTAATTTTAAGACTTGGATTTTCTATTCCTATCACAACTAGAAACAATAAAAGGATCAAGCACCAGAGAACATTTAAAATTAAAAAAAAAAAAACTACAAGTAGAGTCCAGGCATGGTGGCATAAGCTTGTAAACTCGGCAGTTTAGAAGGCTGAGAAAGGAGGATCACATGTTCAAGCCAGCCTTAGCAACTTAATGAGGCCCTAAGCAACTTGATGATACCCTGTCTCAAAATAAAAAAACATAAACAGGGCTGGGGATGTGGCTCTGTGGTTAACTGCCCCTGAGTTCAATACTTAGTACCGAAAAAGAAAAAAATAATACAATTATAACTTTTACATATAATTTTTTTTTACATATAATTTAAAACAGATGTGCTTCATACTTATTAGCACACCAGTTTCCAAAAGTTGTTGCTCATCAGAATCACCTAAGGATTCTTTTAAAACTCCCAAGGCCACGTCACAACCAGGTMAAATAAATTGTTAAAATCCTGGAAATGAGAATCAATATCAATATATTATTTAAAAATGCTCAGGTTTGAGCATCACAACAATCATACCAAAAATCTTCTTGTCTGTTTTCATATTTTTGAAGGAGAATTAGATGAATATTAGTTAGCTGAATACTAAAATGATTTAAGTCTAAATGTAAATTTTTTGGAAAAAAAAAAAGTTTAAGAATATCTCATATAACCCTAAGATTCTTCTTTTTTCCTTCTTTTTCTTTTCTTTTTTGTGATGTTGAAGATCAAACCTAGCGCTAATGTGATCTGCCACAGAAGTAAAGTTCYAGCCCTATGACTTTGAATTTTATTGTGACTCATATAAACTCTCAGCTTATTAGTCATGAATATTAAAACAATGAGAAGCCTCAATTAATATAATTGATGAAACTGATTAAAAATAATATTAATAATTAAGCCTAATAGAATAAACAGTTTAAAGAACTATGGTGATATGTTTTATTGAAAAACCAGTAATTTTACTCCTAGAAAAGTAACCTAAGGAAGTAATCATGGATGTTTGCCAAGACATCTATAAGACAAATTATAACAATACAAATTGAAATTCTAGACATTCACTAAAAATAATACTATAAAAGAAAATTAAGTAGCATGCAGTTTCATAATATAGTATCTACATACAAACCAGTCACAAAATAGTTTCACAAAACCTATGTATAGATTTCATATACATGGAACCTACTTGCAGTTGAACTGAATTATGCCGAAGGCCTTCCACAATAGAAGAAAATCTGTCAATTTTTCTTTCTTCTCCAGCTGAAGTTAAAGCTTCTAAAACTTCTTCAAGGCTATTGGAAATGTGAAAGTCTATTAATTAAATTGCAAATGACACAAATACCATCATGCAACTGCTTCATCCTGCTATAGGTGTTTATATGCTGAGGCAACCAGTAACACTTTTAGAAGTAACTTACTGAGTACATACCATGGACCAAGCACTGTTCTAAGCATAATTTATGCTTCAATTCATTTAATCCTGACAATGCCCTAAGAAAATGTGCATTCATCAAGTATTTATATACCACTTACCACTTATCAGGCACTATTTGAGCCAATTTACAAAYATCAAATATTTTTTTAACTTTTTAATTGATACATTAAAATTATACATATTTGTAGGGTTCCGTGTCATGTTTCTATACATGTATATATCGTGGAATGCTGAAACTAGGATAAGCATACTGTCTYCTCAAACTTAGGTCACTTCTCTATGGTAAAAACAAACATTCAAAATCCTTTCTTCTAGCTTTCTTGAAATACACAATAGATTATCATTAGTAGAGTTAATTTACTGTGAATTAATGTATATAAAAAAAATATGAAGTGAGTACTATTATTAATCCCCACAATAGATTAGGAATCGGAAGCAGAAAAACRTTAAGCAACTTGTTTAGTGGCTCACATCTGCTACATTGTGGAACAAGGTTCTGGAACCAGACAGCCTTGTTGCAGTGAGCAAAAAAAGCTCTCACCAATACATTCCAATGCCTTTCAAATAAATGAAGTTGTAATAGCCAAAAATACACAGTAAGATACTTTAAGTATTCAAATGTACAATATAATTATGCAAGAGCTATATGCCTCCTCCTCTTGTAAAGAATAATGTGTATCTAAGCTATTATAGATGCTTATTTTGTGGATGGAGGCAAATAGTTCTAAATGTTATTTACATTATTTTAATACCCATTCTGAAGTCAAGAAGCAATAAAAAAGGGAGAAAAGGATAGGAGGAAGAAAAGGGCGAAGGAAGGAAAAGAAAGAGAAAATGGGAAAAGAGAGAGAGGAAGAGGAGGACAAACAGAAAGAAAAAGGAAGGAGAGTAGAAAAAAAAAAAAAAACAGGAGTCCAAGAGGATCTGGAGAGAGGAAAAGGAGGAGGGAAGGGGGAAGGGAGAGAAAGAAAGGATGGAGGAGAAGGGAGAAACGAAGGAGAAGTTWAAAAGTACCATATATGTATATCAACATGTATATAGATGCTAAGACATTAATTCTTAGACTTCCACAACAAAAAACATGATATTTTAAAACTGCAAAGGATAAAGTACTAAAGCCAGATGCCATGCTTGGGACAATAGCTGGGTTTAACTAAGCCTCTTCTATAGATATACACTACAGGTATAMACTGTGTATACACTGGGAACAAGGAACCAGGCCTAAGTGGTGCCTTTGATTCTGCAACTGTGGCTCCTCTAAACTGGCTCAATCCCACTGGCTAAAGCAGGATCTCCCTGAGGCAGATTTTCAAAGGAATGCAGGAGGCTGTGCTTATTGGGCTCTGCATACCCTTGTATGAGATGTCTGTGTACTTTTGGTTGTTCAGTTCATTCATTGTAATCGTTTTCAAAAGGCATTTATATGCTTTCTTATAATTAGAAGACCAAATTCCTTTAAAGAAGAAAAAAAAAGTTTATAATTATCTGGAATAAGTACAATAGTCTAAGAAATACAGTTAACTGCTTTAAAGCTTTAGTATGTACTGTATGGTCAAAGACTTTGTACCCTCAGGCAGTATAGTACTATCACATATAAAATTTCCAAAATATACATATATATTTTTCAAATACCTATGTTTGTTTATATAAGGGAATATACATAGCACACAGCTTGAATTAATTCTATCTCAAAAAAATTAAATAGAACCAATATATATATTTTTCAGTCTGCACATAGTGTTTGAATTCAAAACAGTTCAAACTATGATGAAGAAATACGTTTTTCAATGGAACATTTTGGCCCATAACATATGGATAAAGAGAAAAAATTACTCAGCATTTCTTTTTAGTCAATCAGAATTTAAATCAAATGTTTACATAAAATTCAACATGTATTTAAATTTTAAATGAATAGATACCATTAAATGAATAAACTTTTGAAGCTTATTATTTACCATGACAAAAAAGCAAAGAACACTTACATGCTTTCCTCTCCTACAATGCACACAGCGGAAAGGAGCTTAACCACATCTGTCATCATACTGGGGTGCTTGGGATCCATGGCTTTGGCCAATAAGGAAAGACTCCTTTCTTSACTCATAATTCTTTCTAAACCATACTATATTATTTTGGAAACAAGAGGTTAAATATTAAGAGTTAATTGAAAAAAAACATGCCTAAATCGAAATGCAGTTATTTAGAAATTTTTATAAGAATACATTCTCACAACTAGTAAAGTCTGAAAACATGCATGCCTGTAGCACATTAAAAATTCACAAAAGTATTCACATTATGTCAAGAATTGTGAGGCTATACCAAATACAGAGAACAGAAGAGTAAAATGAGATTTTCCAACAGCTAAACAGACCATACTAAAACAGWCACCGAGGTCATGAGGAATTTATTCCTGGGCAAGAAGGCTGGTAAGAGAGCTGTATGCATAAGTAAGCACACAGCACTGTTGAAGAGAAACACAAGGCAAACCACATTGTGTGCAGTAATCTGTCATTTTGAACCAATAAGTAAAACTATTTTCAATAAAATTAATCCACTATAATAAAATCATTTCAGCATATAAAAAATGTCAAACATTCTATTAATGAGAGGTTTCACTTTTTTCTTCCTATTTGAAATCCAGGTGTATTTTACACGTACAGCACATCTCATTTCAGATTAGACATATTTCAAGCCACATTTGACTACCATATTATATTGTGCAGGCCTAGAGAGTAACACTATATTTATAAACCAGCAAAAGTTGAAGGAMAATCTGAGGAAGGTCCCATGTAGAAACTGCCTTAGCAAATGTTGWATCCTAATCACAATGATAGTAATCATCAAGAAGGCAATGCAGTTGTAAACACAAATGTTAATTTGGGATGAGGGTCATCTATTTGCTGCTGCCAGGACATTACATCCAATAAGAAAATGAGGAGCTATATCAATGACATGGTGGTTTAAGATTGTATACATCTCTTGGGCCTATTTATAATCTATCTGTATAAGTGTCAAAAAAATAGGCTGAACAAAAGCAATTGAATAATACCATTTACCTATCATGCATCTCAAAGGATTCCTCTAAGGAAGAAGAAACTGGTTGATCTGAAACACKACTAGGCACTAAAAAGAGKCCTTGATTCCAATTAGAAACCTATCAACTATGACTTGAAATTAGCAGTACATATAAGCACCAAAGTCAAAGCATAACAAGTTTAGACCCAAATGCTTTGACTGTTATAAAGGCCTATTTATAACTTTCTTGCCTTGCATCTGACATTTATGTAAAGAAACCTTCACACTGTGCGAAAATATTGCATTTGCTTTAAACCAATAAAAAACACAGGTACAGTGGAGAAAGTACAAGCCAATGGATGAGCCAAGTACCCCAGGATAAGACTTTCACAAAGACTTCTCTGTCTCCATGATGGGAGAATGTTTACAGAAACAGCTAAGCCAGYCATGAAATGCTCACTTCTGTGATGCCCAGGACTGGAAACAGAGCAAAACAGCGGGCATTGGAACAGAAACTACAACATGCCTTGATATTCATAGGAATTGTCAGCAGATTATAAAGTACCATTTAAATCTGGTTCACAAGGTCAATCAGTCAATGATTACCAAGAACCAAAGAGCTCAGTTTGTACTAAAAATCCTGAGGATTAAGGAAAGCTTGTACCTAGCATTTCCCCTTCATTTCCCACCTACCTGGCTGCCCTTAGCCAGTGTCTATCATTCTTAATCAGAACCATGTAGCTCCTCCAGCCATTCAAGATGACTCATGGTGATGTCCTTCAAGTGGTACAACCTACTTTCTCTGCAAAACCCTCTGACTCTTAAAATAGTGTGTGAGAAGGATAGAATATAAGCATTTTCTGATTTCATGGCATTAGCTATCATCTTGTGGCTCCAAAGACCCATCACAGGCAGTATCCTCTGATTTGGTTCATGTAAAAATGTGTAGTGCTCAGTTTAATGGGATTAGAATGAGGCCTGATTGCCACTATTCAGTATCTATAACTAAACAGAGAAATACCACCAACTTGTATAAAGTTACTCTCAATTATATATAAAATAAAAGYGAAGAGAAACCAAAACTATTGACTCTACATGCAAAATGGCCAACTTACCAGTGATAGCAATTAAAGTGCTTTTAATGAAGGCTATTATAGGCTACAGAGGTGTGACAAATTTTGGAAGATCTAAGGATGTAACTTTCTAAATGTCAAGGAACCACTCTGGGTAATATAACTGGCCTGTTCTAAACTGAGAYCAATGCCAGGTTCCCCGTGCATTCTACATGAGGCCCATTATTACCTAACAGAATTTCAGGCCATTGAAGATGATGTTTTAGGTAGGCTATGATATTCTTCAAAATATGATCCACATACCAGTTTGATTTGAAAAAAAAAAATGTACCTTGTATTTGTCTCTACTTTTTTTTAATTTTACAAGTAAAATTTCTAATTTCTATATTYTCACTTTAGAAGGAGTCTCCTAAAGCAGTGCTATGAACTCAGTAGGAAAATACATCTCCCCATCATCAGTTTTTGAAGAAATGTTAATAATTTAAATACTAGTACTTAAGTATGTAGTCTAAAGTTTATTTAAATAGAATAAGGCAAAATGTCATACATTGAAATTAATCAGAAACATACAGAGTTTGCATGCAACAAATATCAGCAAACACCATCAATAAAATTTTCTTCTCTGAGGTCCAACAGCAACTAAAATGTCCAGTACTACTTCACTCATTGTGAAGTATACATACTTAGATGTTCAAACTAAAGGAATGTCAGGGAATAATGTCAATTTTGATTGTCAACAATGCRTGGAAGAAAAAATGAAATGTGTCAGATAAATGCAACTTCAGTAAAGAACATAAAACATCTCTCCTTTCTAATGTATTATCTTTAAATATGAAAATCCTACAGATACTCCATATTATGTGTGGACTCAATATTATTTGTATTGATCAAGACTGCTCCATTTCTGGAATCTTCTCAGACCTGTTGACATTAATTTCATTATAGATTATAATTCCCTGGAATGTATACAAGTGCTAAGTTGTTCCAACTTGAATCCTTGGTAATAATTATCATTACACTATTTTTTAAATAATCTAGTTTTAATAATCATCTATTATTCTAAGTTGACTAATTCCATATTTTTGAAAATTAAAAGAGGATGAAAGAAAAGAAGGGATTTAAAAACGAGAAGGGGGAATGAAAGAAAAGAGAATTTATCTACATATGAGGATTTACACATCATAAAAGGTCCATTCAATCCCAAGTGTCTCATGTTGCAGGATAGTTTGTTTCATACAAACTTGGAATCCAATTCAATATCTCCATTATGTACTGAAAAGCATATGAGAACAATACATCTCTTGAATGCAAATAAAACCCTATATTACAAAAATCTAGTTCATATAAGAATTGATGATGGACAAATACTAATTATCTATGTGCATACCTGTGTATTCATCAAGGCCTTTAGACACTGTATGACTTTGTGTTGGTTCTTCTTTACAACTTTTTCTTGGCTGTATAAACATAAAAAATATGAGTATTGGAATTAAAAGGGGAAATACAAACATAACTGAATTGAAAATTTTTTGTATACTTACATTTTTCCACTAATCAATTTTTCCAAAATGTCTAGTAATAATCCAAGTCCCTCATGTCCAAAGCTTTCGACCCAACTGAAAAATGGAAAAAGGTAGGGTTACACATTAAGTCACTACTTGAGTTTAGAATGTCATGATAATGCCTATACACATAAGGATTTTTTGCTTGCTGTACTCAAAATCATACATATACACATAAGAATAACAACAAATTCAAAATCATTCACGATTCATAATCTTTCATAGTAGAAGAAGGGGCAATATGGGATAAGATGGTGAAGAGCAACTCAGCTTGCACAAGCCTATCTCTTCCATGTTCCATGTTCAACAGCATTATGTTAGTATCCTGAAGACATCCCCAGCAATAACAAATATCTATATCACAGAAACTTTCAAAACCACCAGAGTTTCACCCACCCATTCACCTAGATCAGGCTATAAAACATTTATCAGCACACCACTTGATAAACCCCATCATGGACTATTTCAAAATGGGCAAATGAATGAAGATCTGTAGAGGAAAGATGCAGACTAAGAAAAATATTACTGACAAAAATTGTCAACATAATAAAAAGGATGCTGTACAAGAATTTCACAAACTACTAAAATGCAGCTTACTGAATGTTAAGAATTTCCTAAGTTTCATAGTTGACTTGCATAAAATGATTTTTAATGAATATTTCCATCCTGATAAAATTGCAACTGTTCTGTAAAACTACTGATACAATCATGACATTTGAGTAAGACATTGTTACTACTACACAACAACTTAACTTGAACATAGAAAAACCACCTTGGTAAAAATGAATAGCTTATTTCACTGGTGATTTGGAAACCTACACAAATAATACAATGATAATAATATATCTCCAAAGAAAATTGGGTGGGGGAAAAAAGCTATACTAGGATTCACAGGTGTATATTTGTTTGTATGTAAGACTTTATATGTGCATACAATTTGAATAATAAAATGTTAGAAACAAAATTTCATCAAATTATCAAAAATAGAACATCACAAAGTATAAAAACAAGTTTGTGTAATTCACATGCCATAATATTACTTTGTTGTTTATTTCAGGTACAACATTTCCAATTAAACAAGAGTAAAAGGTATAATCAAAACAGCATGATATTGGCATAAAAACAGACACATAGACCAAAAGAAAAGCACAGACGCCCTAGAAATAAACCTAAAAATTAACAACAAACTAATTTACAATAAAAGTGCTAAGGATATGCAATGGAGAGCAGGTCTTTTCAATAAATATAGCTGAGAAAACTAGGGAATTCTTATGCACAAGAGTGAAACTAGACTCCTAACCTCTCACCATTTAGAGAAAAAAATCAATTCCAAATGGATTGAAGACAAAATATAAGACTTGTGTTATGGTTTAGATGTGAGGTRTCCCCCCAAGAGCTCAAGTGTGAGACAATGCAAAAATGTTTGGAAGAGAAATGATGAGGTTATAGCTTTAACATAATCAAGGGCCTAATCCCAGATGGGATTAATTGAGTGGTGGCTGGAGGCAGGTGCAGTGTGGCTGGAGGACATTTCCTCTGGGGACTTGGCTTTGGGGTAGGGGAGAATGTTCATATCACTAATCATGAGGAGAATACAAGTCAAATCCAGAATGAGATATCACCTCACTCTAGTACAAATGGCTACTATCAAAAATACAACAWCAAGCGCAAAGTGCAACAAGCGCAAAAAAACTACAAGACAAAGATATAAAGTAAAGAGAACCTTCACAAGCTGTTGGTAGGAGCAGCTGGTAAGCACAATCATTATGGGAACAGTATAGAGGTTCCTCAGAATTTCAAAACCACAACTACCACATGATCCAGCAATCCCCCTGCTGGGTATATATCCAAAGGAAATTAAATTAGTGTGTCAAAGTGACATCTGCACTCCAATGATTGTTGCAGCACTATTCACAATAACCAAGATAGGGAAACATCTAAGTATCCATCAGCTAAGGAATGGATAAAGAAGATATGGTACATATACACAATTRAATACCATTCAGCCATTAAAAGGATGAAATCCTGGCATTTGTGACAGCATGGATGGAACTAGAGATTATTAAATGAAAACAAGCTAGGCACAGAAAGACAAACACTTCATGGTCTCACAAATAGGTGGAATGGAGAAGAGTTGATCTCACAGAAGTAGGAAATGGAAGAGAGCTTACAGTAATTGGGGAGAGTAGGGGGAATGCAGAAATGTTGATCAAAGGGTACTAAGTCATAATTGAGGCAGAACAAGAACAAGAACTCCTGCTGTGCTCTTRAACAAGAGGGTAACTACAGATAACAATTATATACTCTGTACCTTCGAAAGCCAAAAGAATTTTGAAATTTTTTATAAGCATGCCTGTAATCCCAGTAGCTTGGGAAGGTGAAGCAGGAGGATCACAAATTTAAAGCCAGCCTCAGCATCTTAGCAAGGCCCTTAGCAGCAATTCAGCAAGGCCCTGTCTCTAAAATATAAAAAGAGCTGGGGATGTGGTTCAGTGGTTAAGAGCCCCGGGATTCAATCTATRGTACCAAAAAAAAAAAAAAAGATAGAGATAGAAATTAACCTGATTTAAACATTTCACAATATACATATGAATTAAAATATCACCATACCCCATTATGTGCATAATTTTATGTCCCTCTGTATGTGTATGCATTTTAAAAATTCAGTGCTTAAAATCCATTTTCTTCATTTGCACTCTGAAACACAGCTTGCCCACCTACAAATTTTCAGAATTTGATATTACAAAAAAAAATCTAAACAGCATATTTCTTGCCACTTATATTGACACTCCCCTGTCAAGATTTTATTCATCTATTCTCTATCCAGGAAAAGTCACAGAATAACTAATTCAAAAATGCACAAACATAAGAAAGACATTACCTGCAAAGGACTGAACCCTGCCTGCTATTATGACTAAAACAGTTAAATAGATGTTTCTGTTTCCAATCAAGATGCTACTTCAAAAAAAGAAGAGTTACTCTCCATTATCAGTAACAGACAGACTGCCTGTAGGCATTTCATATCTTGCTTTAATGTCTCATGAGAACACCTAAGCATCTGCTTAACTGTTTGCCTTGTTGACATTCTATTTTGTATTTATTCTTATTTCACATTCAGCAGAGAAGCTTAAAATCAAACATATRAGGAATCATTTGAGAGCTGACTTAGTTGGTATTGAGATGCATAGAGAATCTGTGCTCTTGGGCCCCYAAGAGTTAGTACTTTCCCAGTGGGCCTTCAATATTTTGTTTGGAGTGAATTTTCAACCACTCTATATTCAATGTATATCCATAAATATATTCTAAAACTAATATAGTTTCAGATTATTCATACTGCTACCTTCAATGTGCACAATAAAATTAATATTCACAAAACTGCCTTATACCAAAATATACAAAGTGATTTTAAATTATGTTAGTACAACAAAGACTTTTTTGCACTAATTTTGCTTATGTTGTGACCCACTATAAAATTTATTAAAACATGCCAATCCATGTAAATCAGTAAGGCTCTCTGATCTGAGTAATTAAAAATACAACATAGCCATTTAAAATTTATCATTCCTAACATAATAATTATAACCAGAATAATAGGACCCCAATCAACTATTTCTAAACCCACTACATACCTCTCCTTTAAACTACAGAATATAAATCATTAAAATAAAATTTACACCTACTCATGTATATTACATGTAAACTAATTCTCTATCAAAGAAAACTTATTAAAGTTCCATGTGAAGAGAAATAATACCAAATTTATTTATATTCCAGGTTTTAATTTGCTGTGGCAATTAATCTTTCAACAACAAAATCAAAGAGATGGGCAACACTATAAAGTATAACCAGGTTACATATTACATTTCATTAGAGATACCAAAAACAACAAAAGTGTGACAGGGTGCCGCAGTCTGGCTGGGCACAAATCATGAGCCACTCAAGCAGGAACAAACTTTATTTCCAAACTAACTCCAATGCCACCCATGCGGCCCTTCCAGGTACACCACACACCAACTGGAACTCCCTCAACCGGAACTCCACCCACCAACCCAAACTCCCCAGGAACTCCAAAGTAGCAGGCRCCTGAGGGGGACAGCAGGGGTCTATATACAATTGAATACACAGCTTAACATAACCATCAATCTCAATGGCTCCCCTCTCAACCATTACTTCTGGCAAAATGCCAGGGGCCATTCCAACTGTGGCTCTCAACAACAGGGTACAGAGAAAGGACACAAACTGTTACTAAATAAAACATTTAAACATTAAAACACAAACTAAATATGTGTTAAAATTTCCATATTTTAAGACTTGTGAGGCCAGCATATTGCTTAGCAAGTTGTCATTCACAAATCCAGCTTCTCAGTGGTTTCATCCACCCCTACTATTTTCAACAATATTATTTTTAAGAATGGTGTAAAAATATCACTTCCTATCTTCTGGAAAGATGTTCAAGATAATAAAGGACACTGAGTAGGCTGATCCACAATCTTGACAGAGGTTTATTGAAAACCATAGCTTTCTCCAAAAGTGAAATTCTGTCATCATCAGTGTAAGAAACAACCTAGGAAAAAACTGTAAACTGATCTATAAATGATCAATCTTCAGGTAATAAAATCTATACTATTTGCCTTTTGTCAGCACAGCACCATCAGCATTTTGTGATTCGACCATAAACTGTATTCATGGTTGAATAAGCACTGTGTTAATACTGTTTCTTCATGAATAGAAATGAGAGATCAGTATGATATTTGTATTGGAAAACACCAAAACACAGCATGCTAAATGTTAATTTAACACAAAAATGTGCC